GGGCCGGAGGCGCGGGCAGAGCGGAGCCGCGGCGGGCACGGCCCCCGGGCGGCCGCAGCGCGGGGCGAGCGGCGGGAGCCCGCGGGGCTGCCCGGGGCCGGCCAGGTGCTCCGGAGGTCTCGGGCTCCCGCTGCCGTCCCGGTGCTCCCGCGTGTCCCCGGCTGCCGTGGCGGTGCTCCCGGGGGTCCCCGGCCCCGCTGCCACCGCGGTGTTCCCCGCGCGGGATCGGGTGTGGATTTTTGTCCCCGCTGTGTGACCGCAGAGTTCCGAGCCGCGCTCCCGCCCGCCGGTACCGGGCAGCGGCGGAGCATCCCCGGCCCGCACCGGGAGCGCGGCTCGCGGGGCTCCGGCAACTTCACGCGGTGTTTGCCCCCGCTCTCCCATCGGGGCAGTGGAGCAGGGGCCGGGCGGGTGCGGTGCCCCGGGGCCGGGTGCCCGCGCTGCCCGCGGAGGTGCCGCCGGCCGTGCCTCGGGCTCGCTGCAGCGCCAGAGCAGAAAGTGCTCTGCAGGTGCCGGTTACCGAGTGCAACCGCCGGGGCTCGGGCTGGGAGAGCTGGGAAATGAAGTGTCGGCACAGTAAAATTAGTACTGATGCTGAACCCGGGCTGTTCCAGCACAGGAGAACCACAGCTGATGACTCGAGCCTGCTCTGGTCCATTCCCCCTCCCAGCTGACGCTCCGGAGGCATCCCCAGCTCACCGGCGGAGAACGGGGTGTTTCTCAAGTGCCTCTGTTGGCCCCGTAGACCTTTGTACTCTTTTTTTTTTTTTTTTAACAGCCTTCTGCTCCTTGTTACTTTTACATTAGTCATTGCTTCCAGATTCGACTGTTTGAAGGAAAAGGTGTGGTTGGACTGAGAGCAGTAGTGTTGCATGAACCAGCTTTTCAGTTTTTACAGCATTCTGGTTTTTTGATAACTTGGAGTTTAGAGATTAGGAGACAACAAGGATGACAACGTTTTTCCCTTAACTAGTAACTATATTTTTGAGGTAAATAATTTGTTCACTGTCATAAAAATATAGGAACTTACTAAATATACTTGTTTAGCTTATGCAGAGACGTTAATTCAGTCTTGTCCATCATGTTTAAGGTGAAGGGAGTGTGTTTTGAGAGCTTTTTGTTGGCATTTGTCTGCTGTAATGTTTCTGTTAAACATTACAATGTTACATGCAAACGAATGTAACCTGACTGTGGAAAGCAGATTGCAGTAACTTTCTCCTTCTGTTGAAATTGCTTTTGAAGGGCCTTATTGCTGCTGGAATGAGTTGCTATTAATATTTTTAATTAAGGTAGAACAGCTGATGGGCCTTTTCCAGTAAAAACTATGTCTTTTTCCCTTTCATCCTGTTAGATGTTAAGGATAAATAGCAGTACTAATAATAGAAGTTCTGCTATAAAACACAGTTGGAGCAAGTCTAGTGAAAGAGTAGTCTTCTATAAGAGGGGAGAATTTGTTCTAGTTTTTCTTAAAATTTCAATAAGATAACGCCTTTTGGAGTTTGCTTTTTTTAACAGTAATGCAGGATCCCTTTACAATGAACGGGATTTCAGTCACACAATGCAAACAAGGAAAGTGATAGGATATGTTACTTTTTTTATAGCAGCTTTGTGTAGAAGCAAAATAGGATCTATAATGCATTTTGGTGTATTCTTTATATTGAGTGATAGTATGTGCTATGTACAAATAATAGTAATCTCAATTAGTAATGTGTGTCTGATGCTTAGTGTAGAAATCTTCACGTCCTGTGAGAGAAGCCTCTGTGGAGAAACACTCTGCATATTAACCAAACAGGAAACATAAATAAGAACTTCATGTACTTCTGCTTCACTTTATGTAGGTTGTTTAAATACATTAAGTACAGATGAAAAGCTAAAGCAATTCTGAAAGATGGGACTCCATGAGTAATGTTTTAATTTTGTTGTGGGTTTTTTTTTCTTTCTTAATTGTGATGCTGAAAATTAGCAGGTCCTGCAACACTGGGTTATTTGCCTGGTGCAGGAAAGCAGTGACTGGTTCAGGGAGCTCAGTGAGCTTAATGAAATTGTAGTGAGTGTAATCAAGAGTAGTTGGCTTTAGTACCAGGATGCACTTATTGTAATATTTTACAGAAAAGACCCCTAAAGAGCAAGCAGAACTCGTGATCCTTGTCTGGAAAAGCGTACCCGTGAGTCTGTTATCAGCTCTCAGTTCCTTCCCTGTCATTTGCAGTGAGATCAGGGGTCTGGGTTCCAGGGATTGCTCCTTTCCAGCTGCTCCCAGCATGGTTGGGCAGAGCAGTGCCCAGGAACAGGGGGCTTTTCTGGACGGGCTGCAAGGCTCTGTTCTGCTGCCGTGGCCTGGGAGCCCAGAGCTGCAGGAGTGCAGGAGTTGGGGGAGAGGCTGCCCCGCTTCAGAACAGTGACCTGGTGTGCCAGGAGTGGGTGGGACACAGCTGGAAACAGCTGCTGCAGGAAGAATGTGTTTCACCATCTCGTACAAGTGCGTGGGCATCTCCTGAGGAACCCGTGCTGGTGCAGGTCAGAATTCCACAATTTCAGCAGCTTTGGTTGGGTTGGGGGCTTTTCCTCTAGTGAAATTAAGACAGCAAATCCTTATGAATATGGCATGTACTGTCACTCTAAAATTAAACTGGTTCAAACTTCAGTAATTAAGTAGGAAAAAGAAAAAGGCCTAGCAGAGCTTTATGTGCAAGTGACTGGAAAGCTGGATCTCAAACTGGGCTCTCAGGAATGACCTGTAACTATCACTTGCTGCTGTTCCAGCCTTGACTGCAACATGCTGTCATTGAGGCAGTTCCACTGCTAGTGAAGATGGAGAGCAAACATGTAACCACAGCCGAGCCCAGAACCAAAGCCTGTGGAAATGGCCCTTCCCGAGGAGCAGGATGAGCTGGCTCTGGCAGCAGCACTCGGAGTGGAGCTGGAGGGGCTGCCAGCACCAAGAGCTCTCTGGGCACACTTGGGAGCTTTGCTGATTCTCAGCTGCTTTTCCTGAGGCCTGTGAGATGTCCTAGTTCATTGGATAACTTCTCATGTTCTCTTATCCGAACGGAATACTCATTTATTCTGCTCAGGGGAGGTTTGCAGAGGGAGGGGAAGACATGGATGCAGACAGCCAAAAACTGCCTCTGGTGACCTTGCCAAAGCTTTTGCTTGCTCGGAAGAAAATCACAGTGTCTTGTCAGTTCAATCTCTGCAGCTGACAGCAGCGTTCAGACCTTTGCTCCGCTCCCCCTCCCGCTCCTTTACTCTGAGGCAGAGGAGAGAGACCTGGATTTCAGGAGGGAGGAAGGAAGGAAGGACTCCTCGGCTTTCACGGGAGATGAATGAGTTTGGTTTTTGATGGTGGAGTCCCCGGCACTGTCATTCAAAGGGAAGGCTGGAGGAGAGGGCAGTGCGGGTGTGTCAGGACGCGGTGGAGCCGGCGCGTGTCCCGGGGTCAGGGAGGTGACTCGGGCTCGGGCTTGTCCTGCTGTCGGGCTGGGCTGTGAGTCAGCCCCGCTTCCTGGAGAGCGAGCGCTGTGTGCTGCGGGGGCAGCGCCGGGAACCAGCCCGGCCAGTTTGCTGCTCCTTTCCTTCGGGAGGGGAGGGCAGAGCCTTCGGTTGGGGCCCGAGAGGATGACTGGGGCTGTCTGCACCTTCCCAGGCCTCTGCTCGGCATCCTGCTCCTGCAGGCAGACGAGACAACTTTGGGCAGTTTGTGTACGGTATTGTTAAACAAGATGCCTTTTTAACAAAATTTTTTTTAAAGGGCATACTTTTATTATTCATGTGTTTTTCTCCTGTTATTGTAATTTTAAGATATTGTGGTTACAAAAGAAAAAGAAATTGCTAAGAAATGTCTCGATGACCAACTGTTACAGATCTTCCTCCCCTTTTTAACTTTGCGTAGCATTTTAGAGAGTTCTTACCTAGCACTAGGAATTGAAGACCAGTCCTGTTTAATGGCTTTTAAAAATAATTTTAAGTATGCCTTTATTTTAGTAGAGGAAATGAAACTGGGAGTTGTTGCTTTGTTTGAGAGTGATTGATCCATTATTCCAGAAATAATTAAAATTAAAGCCCCCCCATGTAGTGTTTTAACTGAAATGTAGTGTGTTTTTGTGAACCTTAAATCAATGTTATAGCTGATCTAATGTTCTGATTGGTATTGTGATTAATTCATTACTAAAGAGGAGAAAGGAATCTATTGTAAACCCTTTGAAGGTGTACAAGCTGAAACTTGCTTTCTGCATCACAGCTCAGTGGGGGGATTTTTGGTG